TGCAAAATTTTCCACTGTCACCACTTCAAATATTAGTTCTGTCCAAGTTTACCTCCCTCTCATTTGTGACCATCAATTACATATATATTAGTTTTTTTCTCCATAGCGTATATTTCATACTCTTTACTGTATTTTATATATTGCTTGCTATGTTCCAGTTTTTATATCTTCTATTGAATTGTTTTCCATTCTTGAACTCTTTCTTCAGTAGTATCTAATCTACTGTTGAGTCTATCTATTGATTTCTTAGTATGCATTGTATTTTTTATCTTTGGAGTTTCAGTTTGATTTTTAATAGCTTCTAGTTCTTTGCTAATTTTTTTTGTTTTATTATGTTTCTTAGCATATTAATCAAGTTATTTTAAAGTTTGTGGTATGTTCTCCAGTGTTCTTATTACCAGCTTTTATTTATGTTATTTTTGCTGTTTGTCCTATCTTTTATTAGGCTTGATAATCTTTTCATTGACCATCACATATGAAAAAAAAAATCTTGCAAGCTCATCTTCAAAGATAATTCAGCCTTGAACTCCATTTTTTTTTTTTTTTTTTCTCATGCTGTATGAGAATACAAAAAGGTCATTCAGCTTCTCTGCTGCTGAGCTGTAGCTTGTTGCTTCTTGACATAGGGCCTATGCTCTATGAGAAGCCATAAATTCTTTGAGGGTAATAGTAGTTTAGAAAATTGGACTTGTTGTAACACATTTCCTTTATCACCAGCATCTTAGCCCCCAAGACTTGGCTGAGTTGGTAGATCTCCATTGCTTCCACACTTACATTCTAGTTGGTGTCAGTGGGAGGGTTTGTCTGAAATACGATACATAATTCATGATAACCAGAAACAGAACAGCTCCAGTGATATTTAATGGAAGTGCAAAGATACATCAAGGGTGACCACGAGTTTTTGATGGAATGGAATCTGGGTGATCTCCCCAAGACAATAAAGAGGTACTGAGCTCTGGTAGCATAATGCCTAAGGCATTTGACTGCTAACCAGAAGGCTGGCAGTTCAA